TTAGTCCTGCCTTGATTTCCCCATTGGCAAAACAGGGCTAATAATCCTGCCTTCGCCCATTTGGACTTCAAGTTCCTAGAAGCAGGGTCCATTCTCCCGCGTCCTCCTGTCCCTACAACGCTGGGGCAAGTCCCTTTTCCGTATTCACACCAGGTCTGTTCTCCTTGTGCGGATGGACTGGTCCCTGCTTGTATCAAGGCCGAGATGGCGCTAGGTCCTGGGAACCCGGGTTGGTTCTCATTTCGTCCCAGGAAGGAAAAAAACGGGTGGTGGTGTAAGTCTGTTCAGATCAATTCACACCCCCCCTCCCCAAAGAAGAAGCAAACAAGCACTCTCCCAGGAAATTCCTGATTGCTTCATCATCGGTCCATGAAGGAGCTGGTTGGGGTCTTTTCACCCTCACCTTTTAAGCTACCCACGAAGATATGCCCCCTTCTTGTTCCACATAGTCACAGGGTTAGCTCAAAGTCTTGGTGGATGCGGTGGGATTGTTGGCGTTTCCACCTCACATGACCCCAGGGCTATGGTCTGGGGTGAGTGGAGCTCCTGTCCAGCACAGACACAGGGTTCACCCAAGACGTTGGTGGCTGCGGTGGGATTGTTGGCGTTCCCATCCCACATGACCTCTGAGCTAGTCCAGAGCGATGGTGGGTGTTCAGGGGGTGAGAGGAGCTCCTGTCCAACATGGACACAGGGTTCACCCAAGACGTTGGTGGCTGCGGTGGGATTGTTGGCGTTCCCATCCCACATGACCTCTGAGCTAGTCCAGAGCGATGGTGGGTGTTCAGGGGGTGAGAGGAGCTCCTGTCCAACATGGACACAGGGTTCACCCAAGACGTTGGTGGCTGCGGTGGGATTGTTGGCGTTCCCATCCCACATGACCTCTGAGCTAGTCCAGAGCGATGGTGGGTGTTCAGGGGGTGAGAGGAGCTCCTGTCCAACACAGACACAGGGTTCACCCAAGGCGTTGGTGGCTGCAGTGGGATAGCTGGAGCTCCTGTCCCGGATGGCCCCATGTCGAGTCCAGGGTGTTGGTGGATGCGGTGGGATTGTTGGAGAGCCTGTCCCCATGGCTTAGGGCTACTCCAGCGGGTTGGTGGAGAGGGTCATGCTGTCTGGATTCCCATCCTGCATCGCCTCCAACTTGGCCTCCTCGCGCAACTGGATGGTCCGCCCTGTCCCCACCCGTGTGCTGGACATCTCCGATGCCGTCCCCTCAAACAGCTTGGCCATGAAGCCTATGCCGGCTGTCTTGATCAGGGCGCCGCCCGTGAAGGCATAGAGGATGGGGTTGACGCTGCTGCTGAAGAAGGCCAAGGCCGTGAGGGTGGGCCGGGCCATCTTCCCCGCCTTGGTGAGTCCCTGGGAGTGGCTCACAGCCCCAGTCACATCCAGGAGGTTCACCACATGGAAGGGCAGCCAGAAGACGGCAAAGGCCACCACGATGAGCACGATGAGCCGGTTGGTGCGGCGCTTCCGCCGGAAGCGGGTCTCCCGCAGGCGGCGCCCGATGACGCAGTAGCTGCCGATGATGGCGGCGAAGGGGATGGCGAAGCCGGTCAGTGTCTCGAAGAGGTTGTGGAAGATAAGGTGGCCCATGGTGGGGTGGGACAGGTCGCAGAGGAGGTGCCGGCCTCTGAGCACCAGCTTGCGGTAGAAAATGACCGGCAAGGCGAGGAAGAAGGAGCCCACCCAGATGGCCAAGACCAACGACCTGACCACCATGGCGGTGCGGATCTTCTGGGAGATGAAGGGCTTGGTCACGGCCAGGCAGCGGTCCAGGCTCATGAGGGTGATGAGGAAGATGCTGGCGTACATGCTGACGCCGCAGACGTAGTGGCAGATCTGGCAGACCACGGGGCCAAACTCCCACCGCCCGGCGCTCAGGAGCCGGAGGAAGAAGGGGGCGGTGAGCAGCACGGCACAGTCGGCCACGGCCAGGTGGAGGATGAGGAGGCAGGTGACCGTGCGCTTCTGGACGCGCCAGAGGGCGCTCCAGACCACGAAGACGTTGCCGGGGAAGCCCAGGATGAAGGCCAAGGAGAGCACGGCCAGGCCCAGCTTGGCACCGGGCAAGGGTCCCAGCGCGCCCGGCAGGGCGGTGGCGTTGGAGGTGGCGTTGCTCATCGGGGCGAGGGGTTGCTCTGGGGGACGGGAGAGTGGGTGAGTCAAGGCACCGGATGGGTGCTGCTCTGCTGCGATATCCCCCTACCGCTCCACCCAGCCCTACGCGGCCCTCCGACCCCCATGGTCCCTCGGTGCGCCTCCAACCCCCGTCCCATGTCCATTCCAGTGCCCCACGTCCCCCTGTAGACAGCCCCACAGACTCCTCTCCGTCCACATCCAGCCACCCCCCATCCCCACCTACGGCCCCTTCTACCCCACAGTCTCCCCTCCGGCTACATCAATCACCCCCCATCCCCACCTACGGCCCCTTCTACCCCACAGTCTCCCCTCCGGCTACATCAATCACCCCCCATCCCCACCTACGGCCCCTTCTACCCCACAGATGCCCCTCCGGCTACATCAATCCACCCCCCATCCCCACCTACGGCCCCTTCTACCCCACAGTCTCCCCTCCGGCTACATCCAACCACCCCCCATCCCCACCTACGGCCCCTTCTACCCCACAGTCTCCCCTCCGGCTACATCCAACCACCCCCCATCCCCACCTACGGCCCCTTCTACCCCACAGTCTCCCCTCCGGCTACATCCAACCACCCCCCATCCCCACCTACGGCCCCTTCTACCCCACAGTCTCCCCTCCGGCTACATCCAACCACCCCCCATCCCCACCTACGGCCCCTTCTACCCCACAGTCTCCCCTCCGGCTACATCCAACCACCCCCCATCCCCACCTACGGCCCCTTCTACCCCACAGTCTCCCCTCCGGCTACATCCAACCACCCCCCATCCCCACCTACGGCCCCTTCTACCCCACAGTCTCCCCTCCGGCTACATCCAGCGCGGTGTCCACCCCAGCCCCATGCATCACCCCCTGGCTACAGACCCTTCCCTAAAAATACCCCTCCATCGCCTCTAGCTCTCCAGCCACCCGCCTACACACCCGTCCATACGAACATCAGAACGGCCAGGCTGGGTCAGACCCAAGGTCCATCCAGTCCAGTGTCCTGGCTGCCGACCGTGGCCAATGCCAGGTGCCCCAGAGGGAGGGAACAGAAGGGGGACTCCTCACACGATCCCGCCTGTCGCCCATTCTCAGCCCCGGACAAACCGAGGCTACAGACACCAGCCCTGCCCGTCCTGGCTAGCAGCCATTGATGGCGCGAACCGCCATGAATGTATCTAGTGCTTTCTTGAACCCAGTTCAAGTCCTGGCCTTCAGCACCTCCCCTGGCAAGGAGTTCCACAAGTTAATGGTGCTCCGCGTGAACAAAACCTCCTTTGGTTTGTTTTAAACCTGCTGCCTTTTCATTTCATGGGGTGACCCCTCGTTCTTATGCGATGGGAACACGGCAATAACGTTTCCTTATTCTCTTTCTCCACACCGATCACGATTTGGTAGACCTCTATCGTATCCCCCCGTGACCTTAGTCTCTCCCATTCACCCCCCGTCCGTCCAACCACGCGGATGTTAAATGTTATTACCTGCTGCTCCCTAGCTCCAAGCAGTTACAGTCACCTCTTGGAGCAGATCCTGCGCTCCACTTAGGACTATACACTGATCCCCTTCCCCCCCCGTCCGTCCGTCCATCCATCCGTCCGTCCGTCCATCCATCCATCCATCCATCCATCCATCCGCCTCTCTCCCTCCCCAGACACACACACCCATCCATCAGCCATCCCTCCCTCTCCTCTCTCTCGCTGGTTGCCCCATGCCATGGGGCGGAGGAGGCAGGGGGTTGGGGGGTTCCCAAGGCGGGAAGAGGTGAACAGTTTCCTAAGGACAGTGCGGGCAGCTGATGGGGCAACTTCCTCCCAGCTCTTGCTCCGTGTGGTGCTAATTCTCAGCCGTCCCCTGCGAGCAGGGAACCACTAGGCCCCACTCCCCAAGTCTGGAGAGAACCCGGGGTCCTGGCTCATGGCCACCGTCCTCCAGCTGTAACCACTAGGCCCCACTCCCCAAGTCTGGAGAGAACCCGGGGTCCTGGCTCATGGCCACCGTCCTCCAGCTGTAACCACTAGGCCCCACTCCCCAAGTCTGGAGAGAACCCGGGGTCCTGGCTCATGGCCACCGTCCTCCAGCTGTAACCACTAGGCCCCACTCCCCAAGTCTGGAGAGAACCCGGGGTCCTGGCTCATGGCCACCGTCCTCCAGCTGTAACCACTAGGCCCCACTCCCCAAGTCTGGAGAGAACCCGGGGTCCTGGCTCATGGCCACCGTCCTCCAGCTGTAACCACTAGGCCCCACTCCCCAAGTCTGGAGAGAACCCGGGGTCCTGGCTCATGGCCACCGTCCTCCAGCTGTAACCACTAGGCCCCACTCCCCAAGTCTGGAGAGAACCCGGGGTCCTGGCTCATGGCCACCGTCCTCCAGCTGTAACCACTAGGCCCCACTCCCCAAGTCTGGAGAGAACCCGGGGTCCTGGCTCATGGCCACCGTCCTCCAGCTGTAACCACTAGGCCCCACTCCCCAAGTCTGGAGAGAACCCGGGGTCCTGGCTCATGGCCACCGTCCTCCAGCTGTAACCACTAGGCCCCACTCCCCAAGTCTGGAGAGAACCCGGGGTCCTGGCTCATGGCCACCGTCCTCCAGCTGTAACCACTAGGCCCCACTCCCCAAGTCTGGAGAGAACCCGGGGTCCTGGCTCATGGCCACCGTCCTCCAGCTGTAACCACTAGGCCCCACTCCCCAAGTCTGGAGAGAACCCGGGGTCCTGGCTCATGGCCACCGTCCTCCAGCTGTAACCACTAGGCCCCACTCCCCAAGTCTGGAGAGAACCCGGGGTCCTGGCTCATGGCCACCGTCCTCCAGCTGTAACCACTAGGCCCCACTCCCCAAGTCTGGAGAGAACCCGGGGTCCTGGCTCATGGCCACCGTCCTCCAGCTGTAACCACTAGGCCCCACTCCCCAAGTCTGGAGAGAACCCGGGGTCCTGGCTCATGGCCACCGTCCTCCAGCTGTAACCACTAGGCCCCACTCCCCAAGTCTGGAGAGAACCCGGGGTCCTGGCTCATGGCCACCGTCCTCCAGCTGTAACCACTAGGCCCCACTCCCCAAGTCTGGAGAGAACCCGGGGTCCTGGCTCATGGCCACCGTCCTCCAGCTGTAACCACTAGGCCCCACTCCCCAAGTCTGGAGAGAACCCGGGGTCCTGGCTCATGGCCACCGTCCTCCAGCTGTAACCACTAGGCCCCACTCCCCAAGTCTGGAGAGAACCCGGGGTCCTGGCTCATGGCCACCGTCCTCCAGCTGTAACCACTAGGCCCCACTCCCCAAGTCTGGAGAGAACCCGGGGTCCTGGCTCATGGCCACCGTCCTCCAGCTGTAACCACTAGGCCCCACTCCCCAAGTCTGGAGAGAACCCGGGGTCCTGGCTCATGGCCACCGTCCTCCAGCTGTAACCACTAGGCCCCACTCCCCAAGTCTGGAGAGAACCCGGGGTCCTGGCTCATGGCCACCGTCCTCCAGCTGTAACCACTAGGCCCCACTCCCCAAGTCTGGAGAGAACCCGGGGTCCTGGCTCATGGCCACCGTCCTCCAGCTGTAACCACTAGGCCCCACTCCCCAAGTCTGGAGAGAACCCGGGGTCCTGGCTCATGGCCACCGTCCTCCAGCTGTAACCACTAGGCCCCACTCCCCAAGTCTGGAGAGAACCCGGGGTCCTGGCTCATGGCCACCGTCCTCCAGCTGTAACCACTAGGCCCCACTCCCCAAGTCTGGAGAGAACCCGGGGTCCTGGCTCATGGCCACCGTCCTCCAGCTGTAACCACTAGGCCCCACTCCCCAAGTCTGGAGAGAACCCGGGGTCCTGGCTCATGGCCACCGTCCTCCAGCTGTAACCACTAGGCCCCACTCCCCAAGTCTGGAGAGAACCCGGGGTCCTGGCTCATGGCCACCGTCCTCCAGCTGTAACCACTAGGCCCCACTCCCCAAGTCTGGAGAGAACCCGGGGTCCTGGCTCATGGCCACCGTCCTCCAGCTGTAACCACTAGGCCCCACTCCCCAAGTCTGGAGAGAACCCGGGGTCCTGGCTCATGGCCACCGTCCTCCAGCTGTAACCACTAGGCCCCACTCCCCAAGTCTGGAGAGAACCCGGGGTCCTGGCTCATGGCCACCGTCCTCCAGCTGTAACCACTAGGCCCCACTCCCCAAGTCTGGAGAGAACCCGGGGTCCTGGCTCATGGCCACCGTCCTCCAGCTGTAACCACTAGGCCCCACTCCCCAAGTCTGGAGAGAACCCGGGGTCCTGGCTCATGGCCACCGTCCTCCAGCTGTAACCACTAGGCCCCACTCCCCAAGTCTGGAGAGAACCCGGGGTCCTGGCTCATGGCCACCGTCCTCCAGCTGTAACCACTAGGCCCCACTCCCCAAGTCTGGAGAGAACCCGGGGTCCTGGCTCATGGCCACCGTCCTCCAGCTGTAACCACTAGGCCCCACTCCCCAAGTCTGGAGAGAACCCGGGGTCCTGGCTCATGGCCACCGTCCTCCAGCTGTAACCACTAGGCCCCACTCCCCAAGTCTGGAGAGAACCCGGGGTCCTGGCTCATGGCCACCGTCCTCCAGCTGTAACCACTAGGCCCCACTCCCCAAGTCTGGAGAGAACCCGGGGTCCTGGCTCATGGCCACCGTCCTCCAGCTGTAACCACTAGGCCCCACTCCCCAAGTCTGGAGAGAACCCGGGGTCCTGGCTCATGGCCACCGTCCTCCAGCTGTAACCACTAGGCCCCACTCCCCAAGTCTGGAGAGAACCCGGGGTCCTGGCTCATGGCCACCGTCCTCCAGCTGTAACCACTAGGCCCCACTCCCCAAGTCTGGAGAGAACCCGGGGTCCTGGCTCATGGCCACCGTCCTCCAGCTGTAACCACTAGGCCCCACTCCCCAAGTCTGGAGAGAACCCGGGGTCCTGGCTCATGGCCACCGTCCTCCAGCTGTAACCACTAGGCCCCACTCCCCAAGTCTGGAGAGAACCCGGGGTCCTGGCTCATGGCCACCGTCCTCCAGCTGTAACCACTAGGCCCCACTCCCCAAGTCTGGAGAGAACCCGGGGTCCTGGCTCATGGCCACCGTCCTCCAGCTGTAACCACTAGGCCCCACTCCCCAAGTCTGGAGAGAACCCGGGGTCCTGGCTCATGGCCACCGTCCTCCAGCTGTAACCACTAGGCCCCACTCCCCAAGTCTGGAGAGAACCCGGGGTCCTGGCTCATGGCCACCGTCCTCCAGCTGTAACCACTAGGCCCCACTCCCCAAGTCTGGAGAGAACCCGGGGTCCTGGCTCATGGCCACCGTCCTCCAGCTGTAACCACTAGGCCCCACTCCCCAAGTCTGGAGAGAACCCGGGGTCCTGGCTCATGGCCACCGTCCTCCAGCTGTAACCACTAGGCCCCACTCCCCAAGTCTGGAGAGAACCCGGGGTCCTGGCTCATGGCCACCGTCCTCCAGCTGTAACCACTAGGCCCCACTCCCCAAGTCTGGAGAGAACCCGGGGTCCTGGCTCATGGCCACCGTCCTCCAGCTGTAACCACTAGGCCCCACTCCCCAAGTCTGGAGAGAACCCGGGGTCCTGGCTCATGGCCACCGTCCTCCAGCTGTAACCACTAGGCCCCACTCCCCAAGTCTGGAGAGAACCCGGGGTCCTGGCTCATGGCCACCGTCCTCCAGCTGTAACCACTAGGCCCCACTCCCCAAGTCTGGAGAGAACCCGGGGTCCTGGCTCATGGCCACCGTCCTCCAGCTGTAACCACTAGGCCCCACTCCCCAAGTCTGGAGAGAACCCGGGGTCCTGGCTCATGGCCACCGTCCTCCAGCTGTAACCACTAGGCCCCACTCCCCAAGTCTGGAGAGAACCCGGGGTCCTGGCTCATGGCCACCGTCCTCCAGCTGTAACCACTAGGCCCCACTCCCCAAGTCTGGAGAGAACCCGGGGTCCTGGCTCATGGCCACCGTCCTCCAGCTGTAACCACTAGGCCCCACTCCCCAAGTCTGGAGAGAACCCGGGGTCCTGGCTCATGGCCACCGTCCTCCAGCTGTAACCACTAGGCCCCACTCCCCAAGTCTGGAGAGAACCCGGGGTCCTGGCTCATGGCCACCGTCCTCCAGCTGTAACCACTAGGCCCCACTCCCCAAGTCTGGAGAGAACCCGGGGTCCTGGCTCATGGCCACCGTCCTCCAGCTGTAACCACTAGGCCCCACTCCCCAAGTCTGGAGAGAACCCGGGGTCCTGGCTCATGGCCACCGTCCTCCAGCTGTAACCACTAGGCCCCACTCCCCAAGTCTGGAGAGAACCCGGGGTCCTGGCTCATGGCCACCGTCCTCCAGCTGTAACCACTAGGCCCCACTCCCCAAGTCTGGAGAGAACCCGGGGTCCTGGCTCATGGCCACCGTCCTCCAGCTGTAACCACTAGGCCCCACTCCCCCAGCCAGGATGGAAAGCAGGTGTCTTGGCTCCCAACCCCCCCTCCTCTAACCACTAGCCTCCACTCCCCAAGTCTGCAGAGAACCCAGGAGTCCCGGCCCCTGGTCTCCCTGCTCTGACCACTAAACTCCACTCCCCTCCTAGAACTGGGAGTCCTGGCTCCCAGTTCCCCCCTGCACTAGGCCCCTGCTCCCCTCACTCTGACCCACAGCCCCTGGCCCCGGCCCTGCCCCCCATCCATGCTAGTGCCCCTCACTCCTGACCCCTCACTCCTGACCCACAGCCTCTGCCCAGGAGTTCTGCCCCTCCCCCTGACTCTAACCACTAGACCCCACTCCCCGAGCCAGGAGGGAACCTGGGAATCCTGGCTTGCTCCCCTTACCATGACTTCCCCGAGCCGAGCCGCCTAGACCCCAGCCCGGTTGTGTGCCCAGACTCACAAGAGGAGCCCAGCCCTGGCTTATTTCTGAATTAAAGAGACAAGGGATGGGAGGGGAAACTGAGGCACATTGAAGGGAAGCTCCTTCCTCAGGTGCCGCAGCTGATCCGGGGATGGAAATTAGGAGTCCTGGCTCCCAGGCCCCTCCCCCCCTTCCTGCTCTAACTACTAGCCCTCACTCCCCTCTCAGTGCTGGGAAGAGAACCCAGGAATCCTGCCCCCCTCTTCCCTGCTCTAACCACTAGCCCCCACTTCCACCACAGTGCTGGGACCAGAACCCAGGACCGCCCCCCCCCCCACCCCTTAGTACCCGAGCCCAGTGTCTACTTAGCCCTGCCCGTATGGTCTGTCTATTGCATGGCTGGGCCGGCCTGTCTCCTGGGCTGCCCGTGGGCTGCTGGGAGAAGGACACGACTGGCATCGCGATGCCCACATTTCTCCCCCAGGGGGCAGCAGTGGGCCCCCCCTTGAGTACAGAATGGGAGTCGGGCAGACAGCCGTGCCCCTTTAAAGGCCCCTTAAAGGGGATATGACCCTGAGGCTCAGAGTCTGGCAGTGAGAGGTGCTGCTCTTAAAGAGGAAACGGTCACGAAGACCAGAAGCTGGCAGGGAGAAACGTTGGGCACCAAGCAACTTTCCTTTAAGAGCAAATTCAAGGGGAGGTGTCCACAAAGACCAATATCCAGGGGTGACACACATTCGGCAGCAAGAAATGCCCCTTTAAGAGCAAATTAAAGGGGAGGTGTCCACGAAGAACAGTCTCCAGTGGTAAGAAACATTCAGCAACGAGAAATGCCCCTTTAAGAGCAAATTAAAGGGGAAGTGTCCACAAAGACCAATATCCAGGGGTGACACACATTCGGCAGCAAGAAATGCCCCTTTAAGAGCAAATTCAAGGGGAGGTGTCCACAAAGACCAATATCCAGGGGTGAGCCACATTCCGCACCAAGAAACGCCCCTTTAATAGCAAATTAAAGGGGAGGCATCCACGAAGAACAGTCTCCAGCGGTAAGAAACGTTCAGCAGCGAGAAATGCCCCTTTAAGAGCAAATTAAAGGGGAAGTGTCCACAAAGACCAATATCCAGGGGTGACACACATTCGGCAGCAAGAAATGCCCCTTTAAGAGCAAATTCAAGGGGAGGTGTCCACAAAGACCAATATCCAGGGGTGAGCCACATTCCGCACCAAGAAACGCCCCTTTAATAGCAAATTAAAGGGGAGGCGTCCACGAAGAACAGTCTCCGGCGGTAAGAAACGTTCAGCAACGAGAAATGCCCCTTTAAGAGCAAATTAAAGGGGAGGTGCCCACGAAGACCAATATCCAGGGAGGAGACATATTCGGCAGCGAGAAATGCCCCTTTAAGAGCAAATTAAAGGGGAAGTGTGCACAAAGACCAATATCTAGTGGTGAGACACATTCGGCAGCGAGAAATGCCCCTTTAAGAGCAAATTAAAGGGGAGGTGTCCACGAAGACCAATATCCAGGGGTGAGACATGTTCAACAGCGAGAAACGCCCCTTTAAGAGCAAATTAAAGGGCAGGTCTTGGCGAGGCTCCAAGTCTGGCAGGGAGGAACTCGGCTCTTAAAGGGAAAGCATCCATGGGAAGCCAACTGGGGCAGAGACGCTCCACCCTCAAACGGGAGCAAGCAGGAGGGAGCCAAGCAGGGCTAAGAGGATGCGCCTTGGTGGGGACCCCGTTCCGGGGGTGCCGACTGCCCCCCGGCTCCATCCGGCCAGGCCCCCTCGCCCCTTCTCTCCGGCCGGCCCCTCCCCACCGCCTCCCCCCCCACCGCGTC